GATAGATAGATAGATAGATAGATAGATAGATAGATCGTAATTTTTGAATTTCATAGAACTTTCCTTAATTTCTGCCTTCTAGAGAGTGACCCATGCTTAAAACAGCCAGTTCTCGCAGCAACATGCATAGATATAGGTACCTAGCTACTGCGAGCTCGTCTATGTTGTATACTACTACTAAATAAAATACTATAGTTGTATAAAATTCACTACAACTCATTTGTAGTGCTACTTTCATAACATTTCTTCTGCAAACCTAAACCGTCTTATGAAACTTGTACTTTTCAATGTTTACACAGTGTTTACACATCCGGGACACAGCCGAGCGATCGCAGTTTTCATTAACAGTTCTATTCTATGATAAAACAAGTCATAATTTATTATTCGATGTTTGTTCAGTACAAAGCGTGACATTTGTTTAAATCATAACATGTTATCTATACAATACTTATGTTATCAGCCAACAAATATAGTGTTTTCTTGCCAGGAGCTATTTGCGCTAGTGTAGGCCTACTCTTAGCGTTTTCGGTCGTTTCACAACACTTGTGTATCTATACGCCAAAAATTTATCCGATAAAGTTTTCAAAATGCTCTACCTCGGAGCACATTTCTGGCTTAATGATGTGATATTTTCATACTGCAAGTATGCTCACAGTAGGTGTATTTAGACATGTTGTTGCGAGGATTATCTACTTTAATTAAGAATGAGAGATTTAATCTTATTAAAAACTTATAGGTGTAGAAGTACAAAATCGCTATTCTGTTGAGACCAGTTCCCCTTACTGAAAAGCCCGCAGTAAACAAATACTGCACCATTCAGACACGTAGCCGCTAGCTATAGTAGGTAGTCCAGATACTCTAAAGATGGGGACAATGTAGGTTGATCGCCTCTAAGCAACCAGGAATTCGGCTGCCTCGTCAGAGCTGAAATATCATGATTATTTGCATTCAAGTTGTTCGATAATATTATTATATAGTGTTAACCGATATTAACATAATTTTTTTCGGAATAATATTATAATGACTGGCTTAGATTCTCTGGTTTGTATAATATCAGTTTGACATCGTAGTTGTGATCCCAGATGGCGCCATGATCGACGTAGGTTTTGCATAAAATGTAGGCAAAAAACCCTTTTTGCGGCTGGCGGACACATACGTGTTTTTAAGATGTACGACTGCGGAAGTGATTTGGAGGTTAGAAGGGTAACGAGGACTGACCGACATACGCGAGGTTGTTAGTTGACACCAGCGGTGATCGCTGTTATTGTGTGGCAAGCAGAAGCGCAGGGAAGTCATGTGTCGCGTTCGTGCCCTCGGCATATACATTCTGCTGGTATATATATATATTTATTATGTTCGTTCTGTGAGCGCAAGCGTGAGCGTGAACGTGTATGTGTGCGCGCGCACACGCCTGTGTGTGTGTGTGTGTGTGTGTGTGTGTGTGTGTGTGTGTGTGTGTGTGTGTGTGTGT